GGTTTAATTACATCACATGGTGTTTACAGCTCTGCAACATAACTAACTTAGCCAACTACCTGTAACCGTCTACCCTAACTACCTAAGTGTGTGGATTGCCTTGACTGAGAACTTGTGTGATTAGCAGCTTCAGGCTCTGCTTCTATAGCTGTGTTAATATTTCCCATCAAATGAATGGGACAGAGGCCTACCAGGAGTTTGCCTCGAAGCAACATGAACCTATGAGAAGACAGACCCTTGGTAGGCACATCAGTTATTGGATCTTCAGTGTTAACATAGCAAATAACAATATCCTTTTTGATGACTTTCTCTCTGGCAAAATGATAGTCAATTTCTATATGTTTGGTTCTTGAATGGAAGAGAGGATTTGCAACCAGAGCCAATGTAGAGAGATTATCACACCATATTCTAGGAATGTGAGGTAGGAATGTATGCATATAACATAGCAGCATTCTAAACCAAGAAATCTCAGCTGTAGTAAAAGCTAAAGCTCTATATTCAGCCTCAGTAGATGACCTATGACCTAGTCACAGGAGACTGCTTCTTTGTCCCTCCAGTGAATAGCCTAGATAAAACACACACCTAGTTGTTGACCTTCCTATCAGTGGGAGTTTGCATTAGTGAATGCAGACAGATGAATGGAGTTGGGTTTGAAGGTGAGACCAAGTGAAAGTAGTCTCTTTGACAAATCTCAAACTCTGTAGGGGTATGGATGAACTGACAGACATAGTTGACCAGCAGAACTGAGATCAAGTCTGGTAAAAATTAAGTATTACAGAGATCCAACTAAGCTTCTGTGAAGTGTAGGATTGGATAAGGGTGAATCATCAATGCTGCTAAGTTTGTGAGATGAAACACAAGGTGTGTTGCAAGGTTCGCAATTGCTCATATTGGCTCTATAAGATCATTTGCATACTTTTCTTGATTAATGAACAAGTTCTGGCCGGAGTAGTTGATTCCAAGGCCAAGAAGAAATATAAGGGTAGATTTTTCGTGTCAAAACAAATGCTAAGGTTAGCAATAAGGGTGGTGATGTAGGAAGTGATATCAACAACATAAAGAAGAAAAAGAGTGAGGAGCCTGATGATCTGACAAAAAGGGAGGAGTCAACAGCGGAAGTAGAGAACTGATTAGTTAGAAGCTGAGATGTAAACTGTTCAAACCAGGCTCTAGGGTCCTGTTTCAACCCACAAATGGATTTATGAAGTTTATAGACATAATGGGGCTTGGAGGGATCTGTAAAACCTTTGGGTTGAGTCATGTACACTTCCTCCTTGAGATTGCCATGTAAAAAGACATTTTTAACATCCAACTCATGCAATTTCCAGCTAAAATGTAATGCTAAAAGAGTACGTCACACAACGAAGAACAAAAAATTATAAAAAATAAAACCAGAATACTTAGGTCTTGTTTGGTAAAAAAAACAGTGTGTTTGGTATGTGTTTTCATTTTTTTTTCTAGTTAACTTGCTTTGAAAACAAGCTCAAAATAAAAAAAAAATGATGTTTTTGAAAACACCAAAAAACCAAAACATACGTATACCTTGGGGGACTTTATTGAGTTATCCCTTTCGAACTCTATTAGCAAAAAAATGAAGATTTTTTGTTGGAATTATTTAAACCCTCTCTCTCTCTCTCTCTCTCTCTCTCACACACACACACACACACACACACACACGCGAAGAAACCGGAGGGCTAGAGGTCTCACGCGGAAGAGGTCTGCTCTCTTCTGCATCTCACACTGAAGATCTCTCTTCGAAGCATTGTCTGATTGATAAGTGGAAGTCGAGCTCTCTCTCAACCCCTCTCTCTGTCTCCGAAGCCCTCTCTCTATCTATATGCACATGCACACACACTCACACATATATATATATACATAGATATATATGAGTTGGGTGTTTGTGTCCTTGTGTGTCCGTGGGTCTTGTGTGTGTGTATGAGTTGGGTGTTTTCATGAATGTTAATTGGTCGTCTGTTTGTCTGATAAAATGTTTGATAGCAAAACCGCAGCGCNAAATGATGTTTTTGAAAACACCAAAAAACCAAAACATACGTATACCTTGGGGGACTTTATTGAGTTATCCCTTTCGAACTCTATTAGCAAAAAAATGAAGATTTTTTGTTGGAATTATTTAAACCCTCTCTCTCTCTCTCTCTCTCTCTCTCACACACACACACACACACACACACACACGCGAAGAAACCGGAGGGCTAGAGGTCTCACGCGGAAGAGGTCTGCTCTCTTCTGCATCTCACACTGAAGATCTCTCTTCGAAGCATTGTCTGATTGATAAGTGGAAGTCGAGCTCTCTCTCAACCCCTCTCTCTGTCTCCGAAGCCCTCTCTCTATCTATATGCACATGCACACACACTCACACATATATATATATACATAGATATATATGAGTTGGGTGTTTGTGTCCTTGTGTGTCCGTGGGTCTTGTGTGTGTGTATGAGTTGGGTGTTTTCATGAATGTTAATTGGTCGTCTGTTTGTCTGATAAAATGTTTGATAGCAAAACCGCAGCGCCACCAAATCGGAAGAAGCAATTGCGTATTAACATCGATATCTTGTTCCCAAAATACCAATTTTGGGTGATGTTCTCGGGGCTGACATCAAATCGATTCCTATGAACTTGCAACATATCCTTAGTTGCAATCATTCCAGCACTACAACCCATACCCCCCAAATTGAAGCTGCAATTGACCACAAGAATGCTAATGTCTTTGGGCTTGATTTTAGTGGTCTTGAACAAGTTGTCCAAGGCACCAAACATCACACACACATACACACAGTATAGTTGCTCTAGTTCATATTAAGAAGTTGATGAATGTATTGAGATAAATGATATTTTTTCTTTAATAGGGAATTAATATAAAATTACTAAATATGACAAAAATTAAAATGATTATCAAACATGTTTTTTGTTCCAATTTTTTACCACAAAAAACAAATATTATTTCTGTTTTTTATTTTTTTGAAAACACAAAAATAAAAATGTTCTCAAACGCATTCTTAATCACGGACAGTGAAAAAATAGAACAACTCTCAAGCTCTCATAAAGTGAGGAACCCAAAACTCGAGTCAAGGTCATGTTGTCTAAACTATAAGATAGATTGCTCGAGCAGTCCCTTTAGGTTTTCTGTTCAAATAAGTGAACATCAACCAACAATCTAACTTTTACGACTCCTCATCTACACTTCCAATCTACGTTTTGAGTCTCCAAATCATGCATGAATGTATGTACATGTTAAAATGCAACTAAATGCACATGTATGGATGAAATTAGGATCTAATATGAAATGCGATTTTCAATTTCAAAGTAACTGATTAAAGCCATTAATTATGAAAATCACTCATGTTCATCAAATAGTAGATCTATCCTTATTTCATCATTTTCACATTACTTTAAGATATATTAATGAATTGAGAACTCAACTTACATGCATTCTAGAACAATTTCCTCTCACTTGGTTCAATTTCACTCACATGTTCAAATTTTACATCTTTGATCAGATCATTGTAACGTGTGTGAAATCAAACTCCGTCACCAATAGGAATTTGTTTAGGTAAAATCATTAATAAAGCTCTACATGAATTCCTAATACATCGTCTAAGTGAATACATAACTGGTTAGTGAGTGTCCTATTCAAAATTTTCGTTTATCATCTTTTTAGACACTTCCCTTATTTTACATCCCTTCTATTCTTAATGTCTCACTTAGCACGATTGTGAATTCCGTACTTTACAAATTATGTTTCTAAACTTGTGTAGCTTAACTGTTTGAGCTTTACAAGTGAGCATGAACAATTAAACATATAGTACTCTCAACAATTCAAATGCAATCGACATTAGTCATTCTTTTTATGCATCACCTTTTTGTTTGGCCATATTGGGCTATTTTCTCATATTTGACTCTTTGACATCTTTTTTAAGGGATTTGGAGTTTTACTGACCTTTAGTAATGTGTTCATATATTATCAATACTTAGAGTTTATGTAAGGTCATTAATCATTTAAACAAGCAAGATTCTTTAAGTACGAAAGTGAATGGTTGGCTGTGAACTTGGTTTTATAATTTTTTACAAAGAATAACACTATCCAAGCACATTTGGGTGAAAACGACTTGGTTTAAGGATCAAACACTTAGACTTATAACCACTAAGTTCTCTATACCCTAATATGACTCACAGTTATTCACTTTCTTTTTTTTTTTTTTAAAGTTCTATGTAGTTGATTATATATAAAGACAGTATCAAACAAAGGAACAGTAAATAACTGTTGAAACTTATCCCATTCTATTCAATATTAACTGGGATAACTTTTTTTGCTCTCCTGCTAACATCCACAGCTTCACTACCTGTTTCCATTCCTCCAGCACTTCCCGAGTAATCTGTCCATGGAAGAGCTCAATCCCAACAACCCCAATTTGCCAGCCCATCCCATCCATTGCTATTTGCACCTACTGCACTCTCAAGCAAATTCAACTCATTGTTCCAGCCCGGTAAATTCCTGTCAGCATTGACTTTCCATGCTTCTTCGAATGGCCCTTATCATGCACTTAAACATTGATTTAATGATGGAAAAGTTACAATTTGAACGGAATTGTGATTACCAGGAGTAATAAAACAACAAAAATAAACAAAAGAAAATGTTTTTGCTTTTTCTTTTCCCATTGGTTTTTTATGTTTCTCAAATAACATAAAAACAGAAAATATGCGTAGCATGCAACCATAAGGAAAAATAAAGCAATTAAGGGTAAATCTTACTATGATTTCCAACTAGGCATCAACAAACTCTTTTTGGATTTTTTTTTTCAAATAATGTAAAACAAATTAAATAAAGAAATAAAAATATTTACAATGCATGAACCTAGGATGTATGATGCAATGCATGACTATGCACCTAGGTTTACACTCTCACCTCACCTACTTTTTACTTGATTCAACCACTTTTGTAGCCTTAGGGATTTCCAATTTAGTTGAGACGATGAACTTCTCAAGGTCCTCGCTCCTCACCCACACTTGTTTTTCCCTTCCACTCTTTTGGGTTAGCACGACAAATTGACAAAGGACTCACTCTCTTCTCTCCTGAAGTTCTTAGTCAATTTTAACTTTTGGAGTAGAAAGAGTCCTATTCAACATAGCTAGTGAGCCTTTAGGTGGATGCTCCCCTTGATAAAATAGTGAAATTTTTTTTTAAAAGAAAAGTTTAGGTAAAACTTTCAAAGTGAATCTCGACGGGAGAATCCATGCTATTCAGGAAGAATTATAGCAATTCCCCAATTATAATGAAGTAGTTCTTTTGGAATCCAATGAACAACAACGATTACTTAAGATTAGCTTGAGAATTTGTGGCACCGTAATAGAATCATTACCAATGGAATGATGTGCAACTAAGTGCGAAAAAACAATGCAAGCTTTGTTGTGCCGAAATCTAAATGTTAAGTTAGCAGCACTTTCAAAAGCCATTTATTCCAGTCGTTCTGTTATTATTAATCCTTCCTTTCTTGCTATGCCTGGACTAATGCTTGCTTATGTCATTAGCTTAAGGCTAGTTTAATGGAGGGCTTCCTTGCACATACTCCCTATGCAGGATACTTAACACGTTAGCTACAACACTACACAGGTCGTACGCACAACGCTCAATATCCATTGTTTACGGCTTGGACTACTGGAATATCTAATCCCATTCACTCCTCTAGCTTTCGTCTCTCAGTGTTAGTGTCAGTCCAGCAGAGTGCTTTCGCCATTGGTGTTTTTTCTGATCTCTTAGCATTTCACTGCTCCACCAGAAATTCCCTCTGCCCTTATCGTCCTTCTTTCTCTTTTAGAAATAGAAACTGCTAGTAAGAGCAAAGAGAGAACTAGAAGAGAGAATCTCATGAAACTATAGAAAGGCTAGTTGAAAGCCTTAAGAGAGGCACACATAGGGAAATCAAGGAAAACCTTAGCTCGTAGTAGATTGCTTGAGCTACCCTTATCAAACTACCAATATAGGAAGGAAATGAAGCTACTGACTAATAACAAGAGATGCTTTATTCCTTCTTCCGCCCACCAGGTTAGTAGTCAGATTGAGTACTAATAACTACTCGGGAGAGTAACTACAAAAAGATAGCTCACATTCGAGAGTTCGGCCCTTAGCTCATTACTTAATAAAGGTAGGAATGTGGGGACAAGACAATTACCAACCTTCAAGAGCTAATGGTTAGGTTAAGGAATTGGGCTGCTACACTCTTCCTTTAGCTCATTAGTTATGACTGTCCATAGGGCAAGCATCTAACTTCCTTCTTAGGCGTAGCGGGGATAAAAAGGATTTAGCTCGGTACATAGTATACAAGAACCTTAAAAGCTTTATTACACTACCAAAATAGGAAGGAATTTAATGTGTGTCGCAGTACTCTCCTCGCTACTTGCAACTCAAAAAAAAGAAGATCCAATTGATATAGCTCAGTTGTTGAAAAGAAAGAAATGCATAGTTCATCATAGATAAGCAAATGTCTTTCTCAATTACAAAACAAGAAAAAAGAAAGAGCTAAACACTTGTAAATTTCTTCTAGTCTGCACCCCGGTCACTGAGGGCGACAACTTGCACAATGAGCTCTTGTTGTTCTTCAAGCAGCACTCTCTTCCTATTTTCGAGATAGTGGATTTCGTTATGGATAAAAAGCATATGAGAACGTATGAAAACTGGATCGACAGAAGGCATATGTTCCCAGAATGCACCCAACATTTGCTCTTGTTGGAGCTTCTCATTTTTCACCTGACATAGATATTGTTCCCATTGGGTTTACTTTGTTCATAGGTCAATCCCATGGCAGCAAAAAAAGGCGATATTGTGCTACTCTGGTGATATCTTTCCTACCGAGGCACACAAATTCCCATTGTGTCTTAGATCACATTCTATGAATCAAAAAAAGAAACCTACTCATCCATTAACTCCTCTCATCTGTACAGTTTTACGAAGCATTTAAGCACAATTCACTCACATTTATCAATCAAGAGGTTTGCCGCCACTCTTGAAGGTTACTTGTTATATCATACACTTCTTACATTCTTTGCCACGCTTCATACTCCCCTATTTTGTCTTAAGGTAAGGTAAAGGGCTAGACATGGTGGGATAGGAGTATCCAATTGACAATCTTTTTGGCATGATCAAGAAGTCGTATGTCCTCTGAGTCATACGGCATTTTAACTGAAAGAACTTTTTGCGCAATACATGTCTTTTCTGTTTTGAGCAATGCTATTGGAACCTAATTTACTGACATAAGTTATTGACCTAATTCATTGTGACATTTAGATTCACTGTAGACTTCATTAAATATTGTAACTTGGTGTTGATCCAATGATTTTTATGAAGCCACATCATTATGTTAGCAAATTATGTCAGATTTTTAGTTCCAAATAGTATTACTTTTCTGTTTTTACGACTAGAAACTGTTTCTTGATTTTCATTTCAAATTTTTCTATGGAATTTTTATCAAATATGAGATGACCGTAATACAGTATCTAAGACTCGTGATTCAAGCAATCCAATCTTCTGTGTGAAAGGCAAAAGCCCCCAATGAATGGGTGATCAAAAAGATTGAAACACCGTGTATCTTGGTGGTCGTTACTTTTGGTGGGCTTTCTTTTTGGCTGACTTCTCTTACTGTTTTATTGATCAGAAGCATCTAGCAATGCCACACCGGTTTAGAATTCGATTCTAAGGGCTAAGGGGAACCTTAACCCCCCTCACTTTTCTTTTTCCCTTGGCTGTGTGTGGGTCAAACTTCAAAAAGGCCCTACGGGACTTCTTCACTTACTCCGTTTGCTCATGCTCCTTACCAACAACCAATTGGCTCCTTGCCGTTGCATATTAGCAGAAAAATGTGAGTGAAAAGCCATCTTCATGCAAGTTTCTCAATCGGTTTCCTTTATCTTGTTGCAGAAATATGCAACTCAAGAAAAGAAAGACTTCTATTATTCTGAATTAGAAAGCATTGAAAAAACTTGTACATATAACTTGCTATCTTTTTTTTTTCTTTAAGGTCAGATAAGAAATGAGTTAGAGATGAGAAAGATTATTCACCTCCGTCTCTCTCAACTAGCAAAAAATAAAAATCCTCTCATTTTGAATACATAATATATTCTACACTAGAATGATATTTTAACAATAATGTTAGATTGACCAAATTTTGGGATTAAATTTGGAGCTCAAATAATATAGCAGTTGACTTGAGCTTCTTTGATTAGTGTGATGTCATTTGGGCCCCAATAAAAATTTTAAATAATCAACTGCAATGTCATTTGTGCTCTAAATTTGGTCTCAAAATTTGGTCAGTGTAGTATTACTCATATTTTAATGCCTATACATCATATATATTTTTTAAATACACTGCTTTTGCCAATATGTTAAGTATCAATTATACTCATAAGGTCATTATGATGTAATATCATTGGTAGCTACTAATAAATAAATATTAGAATGTAAATGTAGGACTTTTAGTNACTCATAAGGTCATTATGATGTAATATCATTGGTAGCTACTAATAAATAAATATTAGAATGTAAATGTAGGACTTTTAGTAGTAACAGTCATATTAATTAATGTAGTAGCTTAATAATTATCATCAAATATAGAAAATTGAAGTTCGTTGTACTTTCAATTACGACAAAGTCTTCAAGGCTTTCATGAATTGTAAAAATAAGGACTTCCGTAGTCTTCAAGGCGTCTAAAAATTGTTTTTTCAGTAACTTACATATCAAAGAATAAAGATGAATTTAACAAAAAAACCTTCAAAAATAATATATAACATTAAATACTTACAATCTTTAACTTCTAAATTCTTTAGAGACCCGTGATGATAAAGTATTGTGAAATCAATATAGTTTAACGAGCACAAACAAATAATTAAGTATTAAAGGAAATAAAATATGAAAAACTAGTTCTTCAAGAACTTAGAAAACTTGATCTTCAAGAGTTTCTTTCAAAATTTTCTTATTGTAAATCACTAGGATGTAAATCTCTCCTTTTATAGGCAACCTTTCATAATATAAAAATAATCAATAATTCATCCACTAACTAATGAAACTTTATAAATGTGGCACCCACTAATTAGTTGGATCTTGACCTACTTCATCCACTTAGTAGGCTATTAATTGTGGCACCAAATAATTAGTTGAATTTTCACCTAATCATCTTTTTAGTCGTTGAAAATATGGTAAACTAGAAGGGGTATGATTGAAAATTTTTCATATTTATAACAATCACAATTATAATAGAGAATAGTATTTTTTTTCAATTTGTCTTTTGGTATCGGACGTTTGATGTATCCATTGATAACCAATTTTAGTAGATATCCATATATATACCCTTCTTCTCTTATTGTTCTTTTTTACTTTTAGGATTCATGTGTGCATTTAAATCCAAATATAATTTTTTTCTCAATATTGAAAGATTCATTCTTG